GGGGGAGATTTACTAATAGTAAAGATCTTCCAAAGTAAGAAAACAAACTTATAGACACCTTCAACCAATAAAACCGAGCAGCAGAGCTCAAGTATGACCTATTGAGATAAAACTTATGAAAAAGCATGAGTCAAATATTAGAGATAGGACTCAGGATTGAGTATGGGAAAAACAATATCTAAGGCTTCGTTTGGGACGGCTTTCTTACTACTTCTTAAAACAATTTTTACTATAAAATTAAAATTTTTACAGTAAAAAAAACAGTCCCAAAGAAGCATAAGTCAACATAAGAATATGAAGTAGTAGAGATATTCCCCAGGTTGCCAAAAAGCAGATAATGGTTGCCGCGAAGATCATCCAAGAGGCAGCAAAATAGATGTATACCATGCCTCACCGTCCTCTCATGCCAACAGGGAATGTTAGTTAAACCAAAAGACAAGAAAAGTCCAAGTCCCGTTGACATCAGATTAACCAAAACTTTGAAAGATGAGCAGTGCAGCCTAAATCCAAACGAAACCAGGACAAGTCAAAAATGCTTGCCAACCACCGGCAAAACAGCCACCAAAGCCCATCATAAGAGCCCAACTAACATAAATGAAAATTGAGAAGAGAGAAGCAACAAAAATAGTCACAGTCAGGCAATAAGAGAGCTCACAAGTTCCACATGTTTCCACCCAGCAAGCTGATGTCGAATAACTTTTTTAATTTTAAAGCAAACAGTAGTGATGCTGTCAAAATTTGTACCAAACCTCCTTGCATTTCTCTCTCTCTCTAGATGTGATATAGAGACGAGAAATGACTAAATAATAAAACTATTTTTGGACTGTGAAGATGCTCTATGCCAGAAATGTACTCAAATACTTTTAGTAAATTTGATCTCATGAGAAAGGGGCAAATTATTCTCTGCGGAGTCCGGATGTCATCCAAAGGTAAATAAATATGTGTCATGTCACTTCAAAAGTGTACCGCGCTCAGTATCAAACACGGTACCAAGCAGTACCGAGCTTCGATACACCCGGTACCGCTCTCTGTACCAAGCGGTACTGGACGGTTCTCCCGTCCGGTGTCCGCACAGAATAATCTCTCTGAAGCTCATCCCAGGAATCAGATTAGATAAAGTTTTAAAGTAGTCACATGTAATTACAAAAATTGCGAAGAGGTAGAACTTGAATATTTCTCTGAAAGAGATTATTAACAATTTTTAGTTCTCCAGCCAAAGCCAACCAGGTATAAGATGAATAGCTAAGTGCATAATGTCTATGCTACCAAAATTTATAGCAAGAAACTTGCTGCCAATCTAGGAAAAAATTACACAAAAATTCTTTAGACTTGGGTTGCTCAGAATCAAGCCAAATCAGAGGAACGACCGAAGATTCCTTAATAGAAATAGCTTTGATAGCTTGTTGAACATGGGTAGGGAATTGGGAAAGAAGGTTTCAAGCATTAGAAATGCTGATATTATTAATATTAGCATATGATACTACAACGAACACACCAAACAAGCAGAATAAAAGTTAGGACCAACTAAATCCTTTTTTTTTTCACATAGAAACACATAATTTTGAGCATATACGTGAAAAGGTTGGAGTAGCTCCAGTAGAAGATAAGATTAGAGAGAGTCGCCTTAGATGGTTTGGTCACATAAAATGGCGGCCTTCCAATGACCCGATTAGGAGAGTAGAGGTATTAGATTTGACTTATGTTAAGAAAGGTAAAGGCAGTCCTAAAAAGACTTGGTTAGAAAATATTAGGAATGACCTTTCTTTATTAGATTTAAACGAGAATTTGACCTTTAATAGGACACAATGGAGAAAAAGGATTCATGTAGCCGACCCCACGTAGTGGGATAAAGGCTTGATGTTGTTGTTGTGGCTTGTTGAATTCTTATAAAAGGATGTGTGAATCCTCAAGTAGTCGTATGGAGATTAAATCTCATTGAACCATGATTCTAGATATTTCATTTATCAACAACTTTTACACGACTGTAGGCACTATTTATTATTGTTAGGCCTTATCACAAATAAAAAAAAATCCTTAATCTTATAAAGTCAATATCTACCTACACCAAAATGAAGAATGACACATGAACAATTAAACTTACATAACTAAAGAAAAGTCGATAGAAAACTTCACGCTTATGCTATATTCATCAATGACAGCAAACTAAATGCGGCCATCCTATGCACATCACATATGCTTTTGTATCTAAATAAATCAGTCAAGTCTTTTCATCGGTTGTTTATAGCGACAACTATTAGTAAGTAAAAGAAAAAGGAAATCAACTGCTGAAAAATTGATCAAAACTTAGCCAATTGAATTTGGATTTGCTTGGTTTATGGTTTTATTTTATGTGCTGGGATTAGTGCCTGTTATTTTTTTAGGACGTGCATCTGGTTTAGAGGTCCAGAAACTTTTCATCATTCTACTGCATCTTTCAACAAAAGTGACCAAAGGCATAATTGTAATGTGACAACTAATTTCTTATGTATGAACTTTATCGATCTTGGTCAGGTGGATGTTGCGCCGACTTTGGCCCTTCTATTTGGTGTTCCAATTCCAAAGAACAATGTTGGAGTATTGCTCATAGAAGCTTTTAATTCTTTTACAGGTTTTCTTTTATCATATTAATTTCTCCTTCCGTTCAAAGTGCAAGGTTAGGCTTTTAAAAACAAGAGTCAGACCAGCCAAACTTTTCAAGATCATTAAAACTAGAGAATATGTTTTTTTTATGAATTTAGATATCATTTCTTCGTACAGAAAAAAAATACTAGATGAATGGTTCCAATGTTATGTTAATAGTTTGCGTCTCCATTTTGTTTAGTCTTTCAATAAGGTTCAAATTAAATGCACGTTTATTTGATATTTAGAGCACATTAAATTTTTTGGTAGGTGAGAAACATATATATAGTTTACCTTCTTATATTGGTTCAATATTGATGCAATCAAAAATTTGGGGAGGGACCCAAATTTTTGATCACAAAAAAGAAACTCTTTCTAGAGAATAAAAGATTACAAGAACTCACAAAATTTTTTCTTCTCCCAACTTTCTTCACTAATCCCACAACCTCAAACATCCTTAAAATGTATTCACTGTGTTGATTTTAGTAAATGGCATGAAAGCTATGTCTATCCCTGTTTGAATGCGACATTACACGCGCAATTAAAGAAAGTTAATTTTTTTTTTAAAAAAGCTCATCTAATTTGATAAAAATATATAAGAAAATATATGATAGATTGCTCTAAGGTTTTAGGCTTGCATAGTATCTAGATTCATTAATTTAAGAACCACATCCAAAAGTCCAGTGGCGGAGCCAGAAATTTTGTTCAGGGGGTGCCCTAACGAAAGCCGTGCTCGAGATCGTGACTCGTGAATCGCGAGAGAGGAGTAAAAGGGAAAACAAACTATTGATGCTTTTCATGTGTCCAAAAAATAATGTTGGTGGCTTCTATGGATTAATAAATAACTTTAAAAGGAAAAATTACAAAAATTATAGCAGGTTTTCTCGTTGACGAATTTGTTGCTCTTTTAAGCCACTAAAACAATCAACTTTAAGTCCATTTAGGCTTTCAGTTTTATCTTTAGCTAAATCAATAATACACAATATATATTTGGTTGGGTGCGCTGTCATGAGTGCGCGGCGGCCGCAACATTTTCATTATGCAAATAGAGCTAGGAAAAACAAAATCATTCACAATAATTAATTAGATCATTAGCAGTGCAAAAATAATTCAATAATTGGATGATAATTTAATATTTAATAATTATTATTAGATGATCATTTTTTTACGGCTGAAGCATTGCACGTCCAGTAAAGCATTGCATGTCCAGTAAAAGGTGGTTCTAAGCTATTTTTTTTTTTAGAAGGGGCACGTGCCCCCCCTTGCCCCCCCTTCCCTCCGCCCATGTCCAAAACTGTAGCAATCAGATTCATAGTTTAGATTGATTTTTTTTAGTCAATGTTTTAAATGAACGTGATTAATCATTGGACCTTATGTAAAGTTCTAGAGAAATATAATTTGAAAAGAAATATGGAGCAGAAGCGGGACGCGTAGGGGCTTCATAAGTGCGAGCATATGTGATCGTAGCATATATATTGGTATTGGAGAGGTGTTGGGAGCTGATGTGGTGTGTGGCAGGGGATTCGAGCGAGAGGGTTTGTTGGTGAGGAGTGGGGTGGTGGAGACCAGCTTGTAATAAATAGGAACCCTTTGTTGATATCATATTTGATGGAAAAAAAAGGTTTGGTTATCTCATAATAAAATCGGTGCCTATATATAGGAAAATATAAATGATAAAATGAGAAATAATTAATTGTAGGAATATTCTCAAATAAGAGAATTAGAAACATTGTCAAGACATTTTGTAATCATTAACTTTATAATCAGTACATCTCTATGATAATATCTTCCTTTAGTTTCTCACTAAAGTATGCATTCACACGTCATTCCTAATTTAATAAGGGCTAACTTACCTGACTTAGCACAACTCCAATTTCAATATCGAATGCATCACAACAAGCATCAAACACCTAATTAAAATCAGACAACTTAAGCTTATGTGCATTTGCAAGTTTTCTTTGATCTCAATAAAAATATAAGAAGTGCATTTAGTCCATCTAAATATCACCTTCTTCAAATAATTAGTAAATGGAACTAGGATGATACTAAACCCTTTTGTAATCGTCTAGGAAAAGTAGTCAAACTGTAAAAACCCTGAATATAATGCATATTAGTAGATTTTGGAAAATCATTAATCACTTTGGTCTTATCAAAATAATAAACAATTCATCTACAGATACATAAAATATTAAAAAATCACAAAGGAAGCATAATAAAACTTATCTTCTTTTCCTAATTGCAAAACCCCAAATGCTCTCTTATGATGCATCAAATGATCATCTTGAAAAAAAAAAAGATCATCTTCAATCTTTCTGTAAATTAAAATATCACCAAATAAACAATAAGAAAATTTCGAAGAAAAGGTCAGAAGTAATGGTTCATAATCCTCATGCAAGTACTGGACAAAAAGACCAACGCTTGAATATTGTTAATAAATATATGATTATTTAAAAGCATCAACTATATGTTTTAGTTTCATTAATGATGAGTCATAATTTTTCAACTGTTCAGCTGTAGCAATAACTGAACATATTCTCTTGAAAAAGCTCTTTTTTTTTCCGTTGAGTATAATGAGCCTGTGTAGCATATTTGAAAATAGAGGAAGTAATGTCATAAATGACCTCAGTATGGTTGAATCAGAATTTATTACACTCTTTAGGAGACAACATATAGAAAAAAGATACCAATGTAGAGATCTAGAGTCTATTTGAGGCAGCTTTCTCACCTCTATGTTTGTGAGACTGCTGTCACATCTTCGTTTGGTTATTATTTTCTTATTGTTTTTCGGAAAAAAATTGTGGCAGGAAGTTACTTTCTATAACCAGGTTTGGTAGTGTGGTAGCTTTCAGAATTCAGATAGCTGTTATTTGACTTTGTCAAGAAAGAAAATATTTATGATGGCTACGTCAGCTTTAAAAAAAATTTGCTTTCTCCATAATTTTATGACTACTTTTATAAAAAGTTGCGGCCACTCCAAATGGACCTTAATCAGTACTGGTTAATTGAATTCCTCTTTTTTGATTTTATACCTTTTGTTGATTTTTTTTCTAATTATATTAAACTACATGATGTTACATCAGTTGATTTTCTTATTACAGACGAGCATAAATTGCGGGCCTTAGAACTGAATTCCTGGCAATTGCTACGATTGCTGCAAGTGCATTTGCCTCATTTACTTTGCCGAGATCTGAGAGAAGGTGCTAGTGGTGGCCAAGTTGTGCAATCTAATGAATACTTTGATAATATCGAAGAGAAGTTGCATCATTTGTACTCAAAAGCTATGGCTGCTCATACTCTTTGGAAACTTAGTGAGCGTGACTCCAGTGGGAGGTATGACAAGACATCTCTCTTTCAATAATCATGAATAAATTTTCATTGTAATCGGCCTTTTTGGTATCTTAGAATTCCTTTTTTTGCTTGCAGATCAGAGAATAGCACCAACTCGTATAATGCTGTTGCATCATATTATGATTTTTTAAGATATGGGAGCGAGTGGTTGTCACATAGAGCAACTGATGTAATTTTCTGTGTCTACTTTTTCTGAGTTTTCTACGATTCTATAAACTTTTTATGCTCTTATTCTGACCTATATTAGAATGAAATGAATTGGGCTTAAATTTGTGCAGAAACCTATCAAGTTGATTTTGTCTGGCGTTGTCCTTTTGCTGTTGTCATCTGTTTTATTGTTTTACCTTCTGTTACTCCAATTCAAAGACCATGGTACCGAAAGAAAATTTGGTTCAGCCTTGAAAAACTGTAGCTGCGTCTGGCATTTGGATGAGACTTTCGTTTCCGTTGGAACATTTCTTCATATTTTCAGTCTTGGTGCAAGCTCCATGGTGGAGGAAGAGCAATACACATGGCACTTCTTGTCATCTACTATGTGTTTGATCCTTTTCTACATGACCATGCTATCTTTTCTCAAGGAGCAACAGACGGTTTCAGTTGAAATGAAGAAAGACGGAAAGCTTGATTTGCATCAGTCGCAGATAACTCATACTAGTGTTGCCAAATATACCGCCCGTGTGATTTTGATGAAACCATTGCACACTTATTTCCGGATATATTCTTTACTGATTGTTCTGATCTGTGGAAGGATTCTGCGGGGTTGGCACCAAGGAGGTGTAAACTGGGCGCATCTTCCTGATATATCAAAGTGGCTTGAGCAAACCAGTTCTTCCTGCATGAAGGCCTTTGAGATAACATCTTTACTCTTGGTCATGATGCTAAGCTTGTTTGCCCTTAGTTTACTAAAATCAAGGACTAGATATGTTCTTATAGCTTCTTTTGGCATTGTAGTGTTGGGATTTCTAGTTCTACTGCATATCATTGAGAATCAGCCAGTAAATCGTTCCACTTCAATTGCTCAGATATTTTATTTCAATTTTGGTATTTTAGTGTTTGGAACATTCATACTTTCACCTTGGATATTACCTCTTAATTTTCAAGAACACTCAGATTCTCATTCCAGTGCTGTGAAAACTGATGGTGTTTTAATGGGAATACAAGACTCACTTTACGTGGTTGGAGTAATCTATGCCTCATCCTGGTGTATTTTACAGCTTCTTCTGCAACAGCCAGTTAATGCTATCCCTATGTTGCTGATTTTTGTGCAAACAATGGCCTGCATAATTTATTTTTCAGCTAGCGGACATCACCGGCAATTGGTTGAGGTTGGGTTAGATTTCTCTCTCCTTCCCTTTCTCTCTCCCTCACTTTATGTTGACTTTTTCTGCCATGCAAGCCGAATCAAACTAAAAATTGGCTAATGTAACTGATAGGAAGTGCTTGCAGAAATTTAAAAAAAGTTTTGGCTGAAATTTTATTTCAACAATTTTAGAAAACCAATGATAAGAAAATCAGGAGTAGAGTCCACAAGAATACTTTTTTATTGAAAGTTTTATGAAAGAAAAGACAAGGTACAAGTGGATCTTCAATTGGAGAGGAAGATCTGGCTATCCCAATTGGAAAATCACCTAATTAAAGCAAACTATAAACAACAAATACCCAAACAGCCCTCCCCCAATTCCCTCATATTTCCTAATTATTTCCTCCCAAATCAGCCCTCAAATCAGCTCCCAAATTTATCCTCTTCAATTAGGAAATATTTCCTAATTAATCCCCTCCAAATTTGCACCCAAATAAGCCCCCAAATATGCCCTCTTTAATTAAGAAATATTTCCTAATTAATCACCTCTAAATCAGCTCCCAAAGTAGCCCTCTTTAATTAGAAAATGTTTCATAATTAATCCCCTCTAAATCAGCCCTCAATATCTTCTCTTCAATGAGGAAACATCTCCTAATTAATCCCCTTTGATTAAGAACCTTCCTAAACAGCTCCCTCTTGATTGAAAAACTTTTTAATTCCCTCCCAATTAAATTGGCTGGCCCATCAATATTCCCCTCCCAAAGTGCCACCTTGTCCTCAAGGTAAAATGAAGGAAAATGTTGCTGAAGCTTTTGACTAATAACACTTGACTAAAGAATAAACTATCACTGGTTTAAATGATCCCTGCCTCCAACATCTCTTTAATCAATCTCTCGATCTTATCCTTCTGGAGTTGGGGAGAACGGTACGGACAAACACTGATATATGAAACCTCTTCCTTCAAAATGATAGCATGCTTTTGTTCCCGCGGGGCTAGAAACCCCCTGAACTGGTTGAAACACCTCTTGATATTGCTGTAGGAGTGGTTGAACCATGTTTGGTATCTTCTCATCCTTCCAAACTCTGCAGTTCCACCAAAAATCCCACTCCTTCCCCCTTTCCCCTCCTTGGAAGTGGCTCAAAAGGTGGCATCTCCTCTTCTTCCTCCAAAATTTCTACCTCCCCATCCGCTCTCTTGGGTCGGCCCTTGAGCAACTTCTTCAACATCGTCACAAGGACGGAAAATTTTTTTATCGATCTTCTCATAGAAGGCTGAAATTTGACTTTTGAATTCTAAAAATTGAGTTTGAAGATCCAAAATTTTAGATTTCAATTGTTTGATTTCTCCCTCCAACACTTATACCTTTCTTCTTGCCATGGGTACCAAGATCTAGGCTCTAACAGCAAAAAACAACAACTTAGATGCAAATTTGGCCTCCAAACATAAAAAAAAAAGATCAAAGAGGAAAACGCGATAGAAATCAACGAGGAAGACTTCTATTTTAGCCTAGGAAACTTCTCTGATACCAATTTGATAGGAAGTACTTGCAAAAATTAGGAAAAGCTTTGGTTGAAATTTGATTTCAGCAATTTCAAAAAGCCAACGATTAGAAAACCAGGAATTGAACACACACGAATACTTTTTTATTGAAAGTTTGATGAAAGAAAAGATAAGATGCAAGTGGATATTCAATTGGAGAGGAAGACCCGACTCTCCCAGATCTCTATCCACCAGCTAGAGCTCAAATATCCTAAGAACAATTTAATTTCAGCAAACATCACATACCCCTAACCTTAGGAAAATCACTTACTTAAAGCAAACAATAAACAATAAATACCCAAATAGCTCTCCCTTAATTTCCTCCTATTTTTTAATTATTTTCCTCCCAAATCAGCCCTCAAATTAGCCCCCAAATCTACCCTCTTCAATTAGGAAACATCTCCTAATTAATCCCCTCCAAATCAACCACCAAATTTGCCCTTTTCCATTAAGAAATATTTCCTAATGAATTCCCTCCAAATCAGCCATCTTCAATTAGGAAATATTTTCTAATTAATCCCCTCTAAATCAGCCCCCAAATATGCTCTCTTCAATTAGGAAACACTTGTAATTAATCTCTTTTGATTAAGAACCTTCCTAAACAACTCCCTTATGACTAGAAAACTTTCTAATTCCCTCTCAACGAAATTGGCCATCCGTCAATACCCCCTCCCAAAGTGTCAACTTGTCCTCAAGGTGGAACCAAGGAAACTGTTGCTGAAGCACTGGACTAATAGCACTAGACTAAAAGATGGACTGTCATTGGTCTGAATGATCCCTACCTACAACATCTTTATGATCAATCTCTTAATCTCATCATTCTGGATTTGGGGAGAATGGTATGGACGAACACTGATATGTGAAACTCCTTCCTTCAAAATGATGGCATGCTCGTGTTCCCGCGGAGGAGGCAACCCTTGAATTGGCTAGAACACCTCTCGATATTGCTGTAGGAGATGTTGAACCATGTATGGTATCTTCTCCCCCTCTTCTTCTCCTTCCAAACTCTACAGCTCCACAAAAAAATCCCTCTCCTCCCCCCTTTCTCTTCCTTGGAATTGTTCCAAAGTTGGCATGTACTCTTTTTCCTCCAAAATTTTCACCTCCCCATCCTCTCTTTTGGGTTGGCGCTCGAGCAACTTCTTCAACATTTTCTCCAAGATGGAAAATTTTACATTGATCTTCTCATGGACGGCTGAAGTTTGACTTTTGAAATAAAAAAATTGAGTTTGGAGATCCAAAATTTTAGATTTTAAGCCATGGGTACCAAGATCTAGTCTCTAACAACAAAAAAACAACTTAGATGCAAATTTGGCCTCCGAAAACAAAAAACAAGATCGAAGAAGAAAACATAGTAGAAATCAAAGAAGAAGACTTCTATTTTAGCCCAGGAAACTACTATGATAGTAATTTGAAAGGAAATGCTTGCAGAAATTTAGCAAAAGCTTTGACTGAAATCTATTTTCTACAATTTCAAAAAACCAATGACTAGAAAATCAGGAATTCTTTTTTATTGAAAGTTTTATGAAATAAAAGACAAGATGCAAGTGGATCTTCAATTGGAGAGGAATATTCGGCTCTCTCAAATCTATAGCCACCGGCTAGAGCCCAAACACCCTAGGAACAATTTAATTTCAGCAAACGTCACATACCACTAACCCTAGGAAAATCACTTACTTAAAGCAAACAATAAAAAACAAATACCCAAATAGCCCTCCCCCAATTCCCTCATATTTTCATAATTATTTTCCTCCCAAATCCACCCTAAAATCAACCCCAAAATCTACTCTCTTTAATTAGAAAACATTTCCTAATTAATCCCCTCCAAATCAGCCTCCAAATCTGCCCTTTTCAATTAAGAAATATTTCATAATTAATCCCCTTCCAAAGTAGCTCCTAAATCAGTCATCTTCAATTAAAAAATATTTTCTAATTAATCCCCACTAAATCAGCCCCAAATATGCTCTCTTCCATTAGGAAACATGTTCTAATTAATTTCCTTTGATTAAGAACCTTCATACAGCTCCCTCTTGGTTAGGAAACTTTCTAATTCCCTCTCATTCAAATCGGCCAGTCCATCAATAACCTAATATATTATCCTTTAGTAACGATTATTTCAATATGCAAATAGTTTCTTCTGACTGTAGTACATTGTATATTGACATTAAATGCCATTGAAAGAAGATGTTTACTTCATTTCTTGTATCCTTCATTTGATTTCCACTGACTACAATAGCATTTCCAACATGATATACTAAGAAAATATTGCTGGACTTCGTTGTTAAATGTTGTGATGCATTTGTGCTGGACATGCTTCTGCTATCCACTTCAGTTAGTTAAAGCGTTTTACCTTTAACAGAAGAAGTGATGCATACGAGGGCATTTGCTTAATTCATATTCAATATTGACTGGAAAAGATACGAGAATCTTTAGGGAAGTGCATTATCACTTTGAGTTACCTTTCCTTTTTTTGGGAATTCATGTTTCTTTGATTCTGCAACGCTGATGATAGCTTATGGGAAAATAACCTTTATTTTTCCCATTTTCATACCGTTAAAGCTTCAGTCCTTTGAAGGTAACTTGGGTTGGTCTGCCCCATGATATGATTTTATTTCGGGTAATTGGCAGTACCTAATTTCGACATTATTATTTCCCTAAAAAGAAAAAAAAAAAGAAGATCAATATAAAAAACACAGATTTTATATAGGTTCTCTCAATTGATGGTTGCATTATGTTGCTATACTGTAGATTTTATTATGATTTGATTATAGAAAATTGCAATCCTATTTCCTTTCATACGAACTTAAAGACGGTGCACCCCACCCACACTTCATAAAAAAAATTATGGCAGTCAAGGCTAAATTTTAAAAATCACCTGAATAAAAAAAAACATAAATACTGGTTAAAAGTGAAATGACCTACAAATGACATGACTTAGGCTGGTGATTCTCATGACTAAGGCTTGGTTTGGAACGGCTTTTTTACTGCTTCTTAAAACAGTTTTTTAGTACAAAAGTTGAAAACGAAACCTAATTTTGCTTACATATATAGGGTAAAATATTAGGATCTACAACATAACAGTGAAATAGGACTTGGGCTGGTGAGTAGTAGTAAAATTGATTTTTTTTTAAAATTAATTTGTGATGAGGACATCAGAGATCAGCGGCTACGATCTGAAGTTTATTTTTTTTTTATATGTTTTATGTACTAGTTTATTTTATATTTCTGTTTTTCTCATTTTACCCCTAGGGGTGGTCATGTGGCATTGTAGCCCGAAGGGCATTTTAGTCATTGTTTCTTTTCTTTTCATGAGGCCTATTTATAGGCTAGTTCTCTTGTATTATGGGTTAATAATGAATATGAATAAAAATTTCAGCTTTATTGTTCTTGATCTCTTTGTGAGTTCTTGAGAGGAAAAAACCTAAAAGAGGGTCACACATCACCCGTCAATCACCTGTAGATTTCGGGACTCGCGGTTAGTACTCGTGGTATTTTCTTATCGTCTCTTTCTTTCCCCTACATCCGGTCAGTTTTTCTTCCCCAAACACCCGCTAGCCACTTCAAGTCCTCAAGCCATCAGTCAACCTCAACAAGAACCCTTCCACTTAACTCACACCCCTTCCTCAGCCAAACGCCACCCAAACCCCAAACCCTAACAGCTGGCCTTCCCCTCCCATGGATCCAAAATTGATTGTCTTACCTCTTTCCAAAAGTGGAGCTTGAAGATTTAGGAGGGAAATCCAACTCAAAATACTCAAAATCTGATTTTGAATTCTTTCCTAAATTGACATAATCCATATTAGAAAAGTGCTCAATTCGTGAATCTAAGTTACCTAGCCCAAGCCCAAGCCCTTGGTTGCCGGCTTGAAGCCTCCACCTGCCGGCCCCTTGCTCCACCACCTAAAGCCGCTGGCCACATTCTTCTCCCCCACAATAGTCGCCGGCCACATAATTCTCTCCAAACTTTTGAATTCGAATCCACCATAAATGCTTTCTTAATTTAGCCCCACTAATTTAGGATGAGAATTAAATTCAAATTCAAAATATTTGAGTTTCAAAACTCTTCTTAAATTCTCCTCCTTTAATTTAGGAAAACCCCCCAATTAACCTAAATCTGAAATTAATTTCAGATTTAAGTATTCAATCCCCTTAATTGCTTGGGCCCACCTCCTTCATGCCTAACCCCTCTCTCTGTCCTCTCTTCTTGGCCGGCCCCTTCCCCCCTCTCTCTAATTAATTAGGCCTCATAAATTAATGATCTAATTAATTCAATCTCATCCCCACTTTCCCTCCTAATTCCCACTCGTTTCAAATTCAAATTTCAAGGAAATTACTCTCTAATTACTCACTAGATATGAAATTATTTTCAGATTTAACACTTTTTTCTTCTTCCCCTTTGCTTGGCCGAACCTACCCAATCACTTACCCCTCTCACTCTCTACTTTCTCTCTTAGACAATCATGCATGGCCAACCTGGATGTTGATCATGGGTTCGTAGAGGATTCTCTGGACCAGACCGTTATTCTCCGATCTCCATTCTTCGATTTCAATTTGGACGTCGACGACTCCGTGGAAAGCTACATTGAACGCATCATCTTCACGTTGACACCGTCAATTGAGGAACACCTTCCAACCGGATTGTGGATGATCGTGGGACGTCAACCAATCCATCCGTCGCCGGCTACCTTCGGTGAACTCTTTCCCTCACTCTTTATTTTCCTCGTTACTTTCAATTGTGGAATTTAATTGATTAACTAAGATTTGTGTTATTCCTCCACTAAAGCCTAGTAAATTATAGAGTTGTGTGAGGGATCCTTAATAGTATTAATCTCATTGTTAGTCTAGGGATTTCTTGTTGAAACTTTCCATGTATGCAATGTTAGACTAATTGATTGTTTTACGGTCTTAACTCCTACACATGTGATTTAGCCTAAGCTTATGTCACCGCACTTTGTGTTTTATATTGTCGTTCAAAATCAATATAAAGATATAATTATTGTGCTCTAAATATTAAGCGTGCAAATTCCTTAATCTAATCATCCTTGCATGTTTGGTTTCACATCAATTTGCTTGACACTCTTTAGAACATTAAGTATGTCCTTTGGCAATAAACAAGTAATGATTATCATGTTGAGGAATTAAGGCCCAGTGGCTGTGAAATGGCTATATGCTAAATTTTGGCCATTTTGCTGAAAAAATTATGTATGCAGTGAGAAGAATCCAATGGTTTACATCTGTTTTTCACAATTTTTATACAAAACTAGTAAGTTTAGTGTTTTAATGTTGCCTTTAGATTTGTTATACCTGACCAACTTTTTTCATCATCTGTGTAATATCTATGTGATCATGATGACATGCTTTTACAGTTAGCTTTTGTTGCATTTACTGTTTGCAGTTCTGTAATATTTAGCCTGTTCTATTTCATCATCCACAGGTTGCTGCCGTGTACTTCTTAGGAATGGCCGGCCATTTTTATCTGGGAAATAGCAATACTTTAGCTACTATCGATGTTGCTGGAGCTTTCATAGTAAGCGACCTCAATTTATTTTCAATTTTAAGCGGCGGTCAATTTGTGGCTATTTTCTCTAAAAGTGATTTTCATCTCAAGCTATGATTTTGATCACTGTGCATCCTCTACCATGGCCAGGGCATCTCAAGCTACTCAATAATATTTCCAAGCGTACTGATGTTCATTATAACCTTTTCATCTCCAATTTTATCGTATCTAAGCATGTTGGTGTGCATTTCTACAAAGGACATTGTTTCTCTTTCCCTGCATGAGAGACCCGACCTAAGCCAGCTACTCAACCTAATGATTGCTTTTCCTTGTTTGCTTCCCTTGGTCCTTAACTCTGCTGTTTTGACGACATTCACCCTTATATTGTTGGTTATGAGAAACCATTTGTTTGTTTGGAGCGTATTCTCTCCCAAGTAAGTTGGTAACTTCTCTTTTGAGAACTAATGCAATTTTTCCTTTGTAGAATTATGCTTGTGAGCTATATAATTGCTAATTGAAGATTAGATTTTGATAAATATCCAATTTAATCTCAGAGTTTCGCATTGCCCCATTTTAGTCTCTCAACTATTAGAAATTGAGCTAATTTAGTCCAAGAGCCTAAAATAAGAGTTAAAGTTAACTCCAAAATTAAATATGAAGGATATTTTAGGTATTACAAGTGAATATGAGATTATATTGCTTTCATTAATGTATTTTATTTATTCACCTTTTATTATGTACCAGATTAACTATATACTATAATTTATTAAATGATAAAATTGAGTAATGTAAGCAATGTAATATCATATTCACTTGTAATACTTAAAATACTCTATATAATTAAATTTGGAATTAACTTTAACTTTTATCTTAGGCTCTGGAATTAAATTGACTCAATTTTTAATAGTTGAGGGATTAAAATGGGACAATGCGAAACTCTTGGACTAAATTGCACATTTATCAATAGTCGGAGGATTATTTTAAACTTTTACTATAATATATCCATAGAATGGTATATCTAAGATTGAATTTGCATTTATTTTTTCTAAGAATGCATCATTTACATATATTAAGCTCACTACCCTATAGACTGTACCTCAATACTAGGCTACAGAATGATGAAATGTTTACATTGAAAGCTAACAATAGGATATAAAGAAACTTTGAGCTCAAGAACTTGCATTTCTACCGGCCATCAGCTGTATTAATTGATTCTATTTAGTGGAATCAGAACCTGCAATTTATGAGTTCTAGATTTGTAGTCTTTTGATACCTTTGGTTATAGAGTTATTGGTTTGATGTTATTTGATTTCTTTTTTCACATTCTTCTTCTATATTTCCTGTATGGAAGTCCTGTAACTTGCTAAAAATTAGAAACTTTAATGGTTGCAGGTATCTCTATGTTTGTGCTGGAACAGTTAGTGTTTACATTGGGTTATATGTGGTTACAGTCACAGTGGTCTATACCTGCACTGTATTCTTTTTCAGGGCAAAGCTGCTTAAATTTGGAAATTCGTAGCATCCAAACAGTTGCAGCACTACAGCAATTTTGAATACATAATGTTTTTTCACTTATTATAGCATTGCATGCCTTTTTTTATATACATTGGATGGACTGGAGGAAAATCAAGCAGCTATTTAATCCTAGTCAGTACAAAGTTTTCTATTTTCTCATTTAAATTGCAAATTGGATTTAATAATGTTGAATTGTAATCTATGCTGTGCCAATAATATCAAAAGATGTAGGTATCATAGATCCCAATTTTATTATCATATCCAGCTCAATGCTCATCTTAGTCTATTGGTTGAGAAACTTTTATTACGTCCTTTGACCGGACGTAGCTCTACGTTCTGTCAGAGGATTGTTACTCGGTTTTTGCTCGATATTTGGTCGGTATTGCTAGGTATTGTTTGGTAATAACGAGTAATACCGCTCTGTGAAGACCAATACCGAGTAATACCGAGCAATACCGAGTAATCCCAACAAATATCGAGTTTTTCTAAAAAAACTCAGTATTTTTCGGTATTGCTCGGTATTGTTCTGTATTTTGTCTTCACATAATGATATTTCTCGTTATTGTTGGTATTGCTCGGTATTTGCTCGGTATTTCTCGTTTTGTGCCTGCGATCTTAGTGCCAGCCGAACGTAGCTCTACGTACGTTCACCAGACCAAATAAAAGTTCGTTGGTTGAGAGCTTAACTTTTTATCAATAAATTTTAAATATGAAGCTTATATATGTTGTGCCAAAGTTTACAATCTAAGTTTTGTTTGAGACAGCTTTTTTGCTGCTTCTTAAAGCAGCTTTTTAGTATAAAATTTAATTTTTTTATTAAAAAATGCTTTAAGAAGTAGAAAAAAAGCTGTTCCAAACGAAGCCTAAATCTACTAAAAAAAAAAAATTTATCTGACACATGATAATAGTATTTTTGATGTTGATGGGCTGGGGCTTACTGCTCCGTAAATCCAGAAGAATTATTTATCATTAATAATATTATTTTTTTCTTTCAATTTACTTGCAATATTTTATATAATTGCTTGCAATATAAATATATAATGGATTGAATGAATGATTATAAAGTTTGCTCCATCTGATTTTTTTTTTTTTTAAATCTTCTTTGAAGGATTGATTATTGTGTCCAGACACTGAACGTGCCTAGAGACCAATAAAAAAGCGCCACATCACTGGGCGCTCGGTATCGACCGCGGTACCCTCGGCATGATTCTCTCCTCTTGCAGCTACTTTGCTAACCTTTACTAACAATGTTATATTAGATAAATAGTAAAATTATATGAATTGTATTTTGAAATAATAACATATATATATTTTACAACTAAATTTTACCATCTACAACAAATATAACTTACACAAAGAATTAGCAAATATGGTCGGATTTCGTATAGCACATGATTGGGCCCTTCTTCAGCACCACATGGAATAGCCAATGCTTACTCTTGGATTCATAACTTGCGAGGTTTAGAATTTTTGTTGGAGCGCTTTCGCGTCAATAGGTTCAAGAAAGAAAATCATATAACAACATATAGTAAGCGCTTCAATATATCTCGACAAGACAGACCTCATGATGAGAGCATCAATGGGTGGAGGGATACTGGCGGCGTGAGGGATGGGCTCAACGAAATGAAAGATTATTATGTGCGGGATCCGGACATAAAATGCGTCCAAATTTGTGAGGGTATATTTCAAATAAATAATAAATATATAGTTTTGTAAAAAATATATTAATCTATTGTGTACTTTCATAAATCTAGACGATGTAGTCTTCGCCAAGCATTTTCAACGGCTATTATGGATATAAATAATAAAATTTAAATATAATTAAATATTACAATTTTTAAATCCCTTAATTATTTATTATTATAATATACGTTTTTTTTTTACGGATTCGGAAAATAAAAAGTTAATTCGAATAATAAATATTTCCTTTCAAACCCCAAGATAAACGAGCCGTTTATCGGGTAGTGTACTCGATGATCGAGACCAGTCTGATGAAGGGATGGAGCAGCACCGATGCTCAGTTACGCACTTACGCCTCTTAAATGCGTTCAGAGTTGAGAATTCCTGCTTTATTTTCACGTTTTGATAATCGATTCTTCTTGGTAATCTTTATTCCTACTATTTTCTTAATCCATTTTTTAAATCCTTTCATCGTATTTGATATTTTGTAAAATCTTCATTATTTTGTCCTTTTTATATTCAGATTTTCTGTTGTTCTTCCACACTTCTGCTCGCATTTTTTTGAAATGTTTGGGGTTTTGGATTCTATAATTGTTATATTTCATTCCGTAAATGATATCTGTTATGGACATTTCTTCTTCTTCTTCTTTTTCGAAGTAGGTTTTGGCATGTGATATAAACGGTGGAAGGAAGGGAAATGCGCGCCTTGCGAGTTTTTAAGTTATCTTTTCTTCATTTTATTCTTGTTTTGTTTAGGCTTTTGGCGATCGCATCTTTAGGTGGAAAAGTTTTTAGGTTCGTTCACGTGTTCAGACTTTTGAGTGACAAAATGGTTTAGGGTTTAGGAAAGCCTGGATTCTAAGATATCATAAATTAGCAAGTCAATTAATGAATATGGCAATAGAAAGTGGTTGAGAGAGTGGAGGGTTAAGGAATCTTAAAGTCTTACATAACATTTATTTGGGATTTGATCGAGTTAAAGTGTCTTATGTTTTATAGCTGAGTACAACATGTAAAAGGGGCCGACCAAAATATTGTAAGGATGAGAGTTTGTGAAGAAAATTTACAGAAATTAAATTTTCTTACCACTGTACTTAATTTCAAATAAGAATGATGAGAGTTTCATCAGCGACAGATAATGAATTGGATCTTGCTCAAGTTTCATGTGAGTTGGCCCTTTTTCCACAGGATTTTCTTTTTTCAATTGCTATATGTAATTGAATTATTGCATGCATTATAATGCCATTTCCTCTGATGCTTAAAATGTCATTATAATCATAGAAACCTAGACATTTCTTGTCCACTAGAACTATTTTTATGGATAAAATTATTTTATCTGGGATAATAAGATTTAATGTAGAGCCATAGAATACTCAAATCCTCATCGAAAATGCCTTCAGTTACAATTATCACAGTTGGCCACATTATCTTTATTGTCTATGCAAAATGCATGTGACATTACTAACTTGGATATATGAGCCTTGTAATCGCGAGCAGAGTAAATTGTTTGCGCTCAGTTTATTGTGAACTGAGCCTTATAGCGCTCTTAATTGTGTTTTTACAAGCCGCTTTATGTGACTTAACATACTTGCAACATGCACAATCCAGAGTCACACCGAGCTAGTTTATCAGTTACCTATACTTACCCGGCACTTTCCCCAAGTAAAAGAGATAGCTGGTTAATCTCTAATGTGTTGAAGTCTTTTTTTTCCTTCAAACAAACCGACAAATAAGTAAATTAACTTTTTGAAGCTTATATTATTGGTCTGCTCTTATTCAATAATTAGCTAATGCAACAGCCTATCAGGTTTCTGACAGAAGACCCAAAAATGCTTTAAGCTCTGTACCTTACATTTGGTTTCACTGTTCCCAGTCTTTTGGTAAACTGGCATGATTGACTCGAAACTGTTAACCATGTCTTTGAGCTCATGCTTAAGAAGCTTCTTTCTGATAACTTATATAATTTTCCTTTTGCTGAACGCTTCATTCAATTGCATGACATATAATATTTGTAGATATTCTTTGAGCCATTATTTTGTAGTTTCTGTCGTTAACCTTGTAGGGAGAGATATCCTCTTTCTTCATCTTGTGCATTTGGTTGATTTTCTTTCAATCTATCAGCATCTTAAATCATTAGCGTTTTTCCAACTATTTAGAGTTGCAATTATTAATTCTTTTTATTTATTTGTGTTGTATTTTGTATGTGGTGTTAAATTTAGTTTCTTCAATTCTTTTTTCATAACTTATGGCCAAGGTATCTTGGGTCCCCTTCTGCTCTTCAGATTGATGGTATCTACTCGGTGTTATCTTTGTTTCTAACATTAATGGAATTGGAATTGACGCAAGGAGCCTTTACTTCTGGTCTCATTTGCTCAAAGTTGTGTTATTATATGTCTTATAATAGTTTTGAATGATAGGATGGTTTCAGGTGACTGCTTTTGACTGCTTTGAGAATAGGAAATATGAGTGGGAGATGCTTACGTAGTAGTAACCCTTCTAGCAATGGTGAAGAACCCATTGAATGTATGGCTAATCTGTTGGTACAACAGTTCAAGCAGGGGGATATTATATGGAGTAGGATCAATGGCGGGTCATGGTGGCCTTTGCAGGTATGCTGTGGTCAATGATTTTACAGCCATCTTCTCTGTTAGTTGATTTTTACTATTTAAGGTAGTTCCTATAGTTTTTTATTTTTACAAATTTTGTACGGAAACAAGGACTTTCTGTTTTTTTTTTGTTCGCTGAGGACTGGCTGTAGACGAATCAATACACTCAATGAAAAGCTCGATAATGATAATTATTTGACTAAGGGCATCATGCTTGTTTATGTTTGCTCACTTAATCGAATAAGCTTGAACATTAGTTAAGAAGCCTAGCAACATAATCAATTAGCTTGAGCATAGCTATTTATTTATGTTTTTGAACATATTTCTTTGTTAATAAGTAACTCAATTTGAGTTCTGTAAAATGCTCATTTAATGCTTATTTATTAGATTATTTAATTTTAATTTATGTTTGCATAAAACCTATATTCTTCTTATGTATTTTATGTGGAATATGTTAGTTAATTCTATTTAATTTATTTTCTAATTTTGTTAATATTTGAATATTAGTGCATTGATTATACATTCTAATTGAATTATGTTGATTTGTTATGGATAATCATGACTAACATTTGGTTATCTGGTGAGGTTAGCTTAGCTCAGGTAAATTGTTTAAAGTCAGGCCATATTCAAGTTCAAATAAAGCTTTAGATGAAAATGAATAAAGAAATTTGAACATAATGTGCCCTATGAAAGGTGACATTATTATTTACTATCCTATTGGAACAATGAAAATGCGTAATCTTGTGATGCTTCCATTTTTGTTTTAGAGACTTCCGATGTTTTGTCATCTCTTTTATTAACTTTTAGCAGTTTTTTTTTTTAAATTCATTTTTTTAAGGTGGCTGATGAGAAATGTGTGTCTTGTAAACCCAAAAAGATAAAGAATGATGAAATTCTGGTTCGGCTATATGGAAGTTTTGAGCAGTAAGTTACATTTTGCATTAGGTGCTGCACTTTATTGATGAATTTTTTTAAGACTAAATCATAATAAGAATTTGTTGCTCTACAGCATGTACGTGGATCCTGCAAACTGTGTCTCGAAGATTGAGAAGGTGAGTTGAATTGAGGCTCTTCATCCATCTACATGTTTTCGTTTTACTTTGTTTTTTTTTAATCTGGTTGCATGATTTCATTGCGCTTTGCAGATTTTTGGTCAAGAAAAGAGCAGTAACAGAGATTTATTTATGAGAACTCTGGAGGAGGTGATGCTTTATTTCTCCTTCATAATTTGAGGTGTCCATTCATCTTACAGTTTGGATCATGCATCCTGATTATTTCAAAAATGTTGGTTAACTTCTTGCTCATAGGATATAACTCGCATGAAATCTGGTGGCCAGTCTGTGGCAACAGTTTCTGAATCAAAAGGTCAGTCATCTTAAAAGTAATTTTTTTTTATAGAAACATTTAACTATTTGTGCATATAGATTTTGATTGATTCTGATATTCTCTCTCCATGTGGAAGAAAAAAATACCATGATTATAAAGTTCTATTTTGCTTTTTATTCCTTCATTGTAAAGTTACTTGTCTGATTTATAATATGATTTTTGGATAGGTGTTAATGGATTATGATCAGCAATTGTGGAATTAAATGCACGCCTTACCATGATCAAAAAAATTGATGAGAGAACAATTCCTGAAAAGTTCCTTGCACTAACTTTTTCTATGCAAGGAAAATTAATTTGGCTGTGGATAATATTTAATTTTGGCTAGGAGTTGTGGTTTGTTTGAAATAATTTTTATCTTTTTACCTAGATAAAAATAAAAAACTGTGATGTGTAATGATGCAGAAACTACAGAAATTGCAGAAATAGAGAAAGAGAAAAATGAAGCTTCTGGAGGAAAAGGGCAAAGAAAAGGAAAATTAAAGAGAACCATGATAGCAGACAACTCTCCTGTGAGTTTTCTTTTGGCTCATTTCAATCTTATTATCTTAGGTATTCTATTGTCCTCCCCAATGAGGTCAGTATAAATAGTCAGACCTTATTTTTTCCACATAATGTGCTATACAAAATGATATTTGTTGTTATGAATGCGGAATAATTGTCCTAATTGCAAAACTTGCTCTCAGCTTGTTGGTTCTTCAAATAATCCAAAAGCTGCAAAACAAGTTAAGGTTGTGAAGAGTGAAGGCATGAATGCTGTTAAAACGTCAGAAGTTGGAATCACAAAACGGAGGACTAGGAGTGAAACATTTAAAGCAAGAAGTGATGGAACAAGTGAGATTGAAGTGTCCAATTATACAGGGAATTTAAATAGCGGGGCTTCTGCAGTCAGTTCATTTGATAAAAAGGATTTAAGGAGTTCAGGACATAAAGATACCAAGGAGAAATTAACTTTGAATGTCCTTGATAAGGCATCTGAATCAAGATGTGTGAAACAAGATTGCGGGAGGAATCTAGATGTAAACAAGAATGCTCAGATTGAATTTTCAGATGTTAAAGACATCAAGAAGTTAGTGGCAAAGATTGTTAAAGAAGTAGCTGAAAAGGCTAGATACGATGCATTGAAAAGTAGAGGGATGGAAAGGTGTCCTGAAAATACTGAATATATAGACAATTCTAGGAAGAAAACTTCTGTAATAAAAAAAATGAAGCGACATGTTCCAAGAAGAGTGAAGAATACAGATACTGAGGTACACATAACAGATGGAGCTATAGATGATACTCAAGACAGAACTGCTGGATCAAGTGATGTAGAAAAGCCAAATGGAACAGTACTCAGCAATGGAGACCCTCTCAACAAAATTCGAGATTTTGAGTGTGACAATAATGAGAGGACAAGAGATACTGACATCCAATTACCAAATGTGGTGGAGAGAGCAAATAATGAAATTCAAGGAATCAATGGCGTGCACCGAACGGAGAGCTACTTCAAGGAAATGAACGGGGATGAGAAATCTCCTTCAAATTTTGCAAAACAAGATGAGGCAAAGAAGCCCAGTGAGACAGAGGAGGCAATTAATGGAGATCAAAGAGGCAAAGTTGTCGAACATGGTGATTCAGGAGAGAAAAAGGCTAGTCCTAACACTGTAAGTACTAATTCCCTTCCCATTACTCGTTCTGCTTGATGATTCAGCTGTGATCCATATTCATTTTCATAACCTACTCAGACTAAATGTTTCCTGAGCCCGCGATGTACGAAGGTCATGCAAAGTCTTGGCTTAATTGCTCCTTTAGGTTCCCCATTTTGCAGAAATGGATTGATCAGGTCCTTGCTGCCATGACTTCCTGACATACCAACAGAAATTTGACTAAAAACCGTTAGCAGATCAAAATTATCTCCAATCATAGATCAATCATATCCAAGTATTGGGTTTTGCATCATATATGGTTGTGACTTTTGTATTTCTGGTGTCTGGTTTTGTCCAGATGAATGTTTTAAGTTCCTGTGATCCTGCAAATTGCTGATAAACTTTTGACTATTAGGTCTTCTTCAAATTTGTTTTTATTGCATTGGCACTTGCAAGGAACTTAAGCCAACCTTGAATGAATCATTTTCTGGCTGTCAACTTAATTAGGTAGATTCAACTAGTCTGGTTGATAGAGTCTGTAGATGTTTTTATTTCTATTTCTGAAGAAAGTTTTCTGTTTATGGAGTAAAGTAGCTTGGTGACTATTTTACTGTGTGGTAAGTGCAAATGAGTTGAGTTTTGATCTTGTTCAGTTCTTTTCATTAATGCTCAAACCAAACACAAAAGGACACCAAGTTTGTTAAGGATTAGAAAAACATTGGTTAAGCTTGGATTGTTTACTAATGAGCCAAATAAAAGATTTCCATGAAATAAAAGATCACACGGTTGACCATCAGATGCATTGAAATTTTTATTATTGATTGATGGGCATGATTTTTTATTTTTCATAGTTTATCTTAAGCAATGTGCTTTTCATGATTTCTTTATGAATCTTAATATTAAAATGTGTTTAAATGAATTATATGTACACTAATAATGTGCACAAAATAAAAATATGCATGTATATTTTGATATAAATTGCATTAGGATGAGTTTGAATACCTTTGGATTTGCTTTTAAATTTAACAACAATAATAACAACAACATCAAGCCTTTCTCTCACTATATAGGGGCGACTACATGAATTCTTTTTGACTTTTTCTAAGTTCTATCATGTTAAAAGTCAAACTCTTATTTCTAATATGGATTAACCAAATCTTTTTAGATATATCTCTATCTTTCTTAACATAAGTCAAATTTAATACTTTTATTTTCCTAACCTGGTCATTGGAAGGAAGGCTAACACAAACGAGTATTATAATTTTTTTTTTTGTTTACAAGATCAATTGAAAGGGAATATATAATTTTATGAGGCGAGGCTATGGATATTATGCCTGAAATTTTAATTTTTATTGTTCTAGTTGTCTTAATCCTTTCACATTTACAAAATATGACTATCTTTCTACTTAATTAAAAATGTGCTATACTCTCAATTAGCATATCCAAAATATAATTAATTGATAAGTCCATATTTATCCTAACTTTTAAAAGGTATTTTAGGGCTTAATTGTTGAGAAAGATTAAGCCACATTTTATAATTTATACATCTAAATTTAACTATATGAAGTTATTGATATCATTATTAATGAATAATGATGGTTGAAATCTTATAACAGAAATTTAAGGCTCTAAATCCCTAAAGTAATTGGCTAACTCATCAAATTTAGCAATTTTATGAGTGAGTGGCAAACTCAAAATGACGATTGAGAACACAACACAAATTTAAAAAATAAATAAATAATATCGGTAAGTAATTAATTTATAAAATTAATTGATTTTACTCCAATGAGCTTTGGGCTCCACTGTAGTCATGATCAAAATCTCCAATTCTTAATTTTAGGCCTGCCTGATCAACCCAACTCAATTTCACCCCTAACGGCTATAATAATTTAATTTTATTGATTGTAGTCACATTTTTATTTGATAATAAATTTTATATATCATTTTTAACAAGTAATTTACTAGTCCAATAGTAATTAAGGCTTTATTTAGGATGAATTTTTTTTTTTTTAACAAGCTTTTAGTACAATTTTTTTTAATAAGTTGTCATATCTACAAGAATGTATAATGCCCAAAACACCTTCAAACTTTCTAATTTTATCGCACAGCTTCAGATACTTAAAACAATAACAAAATTTGTGTGAGTATAACAATTGTCTTGCACATAGGCCTAAGGAAACGGGACAGCAAAACATACATGACCGATGTAGAAGCCAAAAACTTTTGAATGGGCGGCCCAATTTTATCCTTATTTTAACTGATTTTTATATTTAGATTCAATCAATCACTTTAATGTTTTTATATATTATAAAGAATCAATATACTATATGAAGATATATTTACAAATTTCATTCAAGTTTTTTTTTTTTTTTTTTTGAAAATCGCTTGCAGGAAGAGCCTGATACAGACTTTTCTAAATTTCGGAGGGGGCACGTGCCCCTTAGGCCCCCCTCTCTCCGCCCCTGCATATAACAAAGTTCGCATAAAATGGGTCATGTAACCTATCAATTATTACAGATCGACCTTCTAAAAAAATACATGATGCCCAATTAAAAAATAAAATCATGTAGATTTCAGAACTACTGTTTGTAGAAGCCTATTTTCCTGCTGCATGTGGAGTTTATGGCATTCTCTAAATCCTCAATCTTCTCATGATCTACTCTAAAAGTAAGCATAGTGAAACCATCTTTACCAGTATCATAGTCTTGTTTGATATCTTCAACATGGAAAGACTGCAGCTGTGAAATATATCATGGCATAAAGAGTGTAGAAGAAATACATGGCAGAATAATTGTAACAAAATCTTAAAAATTATATAAGCAGGTTTAGACTTTTTCTACTTTTTTATCTTAATTGAATGAAAACTTTCTCTGAAGCAGTTCTGATAAATAGTTGAACATTGCTGAATCAGAGAAGATGCAAACCTGATGATACACAGGTCCTACTAATTCAAATGGCACCTCCATGCCAAGGGGAACCTGCGATAAGAATGATAAAATAATAAAAATAAAAAATATGATCATGGCTCTGTGTAAAATTCTCTCATTGTTATCATCATCACCATCTTATTCCAGTGATTTGAGGTTGGTATATGAATCCTTTTCATTCGTTTGAGTTTCGTATTGTATGAGATGTTAATTTTATTTTCCATGAGTTTAAATTTGACATAACGAGATCGGGTCTGTAGCCGAGTGATCGACAGAAGAAATTCCTCCCATCTCTCACCCGGGCTCGAATCCCCTGACTGTCAAAAAAAAAAGACACAAAAATCACCTCCACAAATGCATAACTTCACAATAGATCACCATGAAAGAATTCAGTCAGATTGATTCTGTAATTCCAACATGCTTTTTCTTCTCATTTGTTCAATCATATAATGCATAACTTCATCGCAACAATTGAGAGTTCAATTATATTGTAATTATCAAAATCTTAAACATCTCTTTCAATCTTAAATAATTATAGAAAAATGCTTATTCTTTGACTATTTGGCATTCTGTCGAGTCTTATGATTTCATTAAAATGATCATTTAACTATATGACTTTAATATTGCCCATTGCTTACTAAATCACAATAGGCATCTGATGCGAACTACAATGACCCTGCAGAGCATTATACTACTAATTCACTTTCCACTACCACTACTGCTTATTTCCTTTTCTGTTAACAACACGGCACTTACCTTTTTATTTTCTACTCTCCTTACTAAGTAATCACTAGTATACTAAGTAATACTGATATATATATATATTAGCACGGGTCATGAAGAAGAAGAATAATTTGCTCTGAAATTACTATTTCATTGATTGCTCATACTTTGTTTCTTCTTTCTGTGAGCCTCTGCATTAATTTGATATCAGAGCTAGCAATCCGATGTGATGGTAGAAGGAAGCAAACACCTTACGCCCGACGACGATCGGAGGTTGAAAGCTTTAGGGGGCAACACAACAAAACACCTCCAAACAACTGGATGAACTCATCTTTGTTTTTCTCATTTTTCAACTGAAATGCGAAATGAAATATGGCATATCAAGGCGACTACCAACCCAGTAATCCGCCCTACTGATTCGGCAGCTACAACGGCGCAAAGAGCGCCAACCTGACCTAGATAAATTCCTAGGAGAGCTCCAACTTCTATTCATGATATTTCGGATTCAGATCATGACAACAATTATGATCCAAGGCGAGAATTCCCTCTTCAGATGGATTCAGTAGTTATTTTATCATCAGCTTGAGATTTTTTTTTTTGGGTTAATGATTATATTTGTTTTTTCATGTGATAACAAATCATGAGGCTGTGGAAGGAAAGAGCAACGCTCGTTTTAGATAGCTGTTGTGCCCACAAACGCATGCTCATGACACATGAGGCCGTTGCCAAGCTCCAAATATTACATAATATGATCAGTTTGAATTCCAATTTTCTTTCATTTCTACTTAATTGGATTGTCTTGCTTGTAAATCCTCCTGAAATGCACTGCATAGACCATCTTGTTTGTTGTGCAGCTTGATTAGCTTTTAGATCCATTAATGTTAGATTAAGAACCTTTTTAATAGTTTATATATGCTAGTTTCTGCAAGGTTCTTATTTATTGTTCACTAGATTTTTGATTGATGTGAATGTGACATTCTAATATCTTTTGGTGCTATAATGGATCCACAGATGAATTTTGTTGTTATAGAATTTGCATATCCGATAATATACTCTGGGGAAGAAAGCTTTAGAAATATATCACTTGTGCGAAATCTGTTGTATGAATACATTTCCAATTTTTCACAAGATTATTGACAATGCCTATAGTATAGATCTACCACCTAATTTCATGAAGAAGAAGAATATTTTGCTCTCAAATGTCTGTTTCATTGATTTACGCATACTTTATTTCTTCCTCCTATGAGCCTCTGCATCAATATCTCTTATGAAATTAAAGTTGTACTTTTGGCGCTTTCTTTATAGTTATCTCAACTTTAATTTTTTTTATCAATTTTGCTCATAGAAAAAAATTCCTAGTGGCACTCCCTATTAATATATCTTAAAATAACATTTATACTAATATCCCAAAATAACATTTATAGCTTTCTCTCTTCTCTTCGCTAATTTTTACATTCAAGACCAATAATTAAGGAAAGTTCTAGCTATATGTGATTTCGGAGCTTCACACTCAAGACTAATAATTAATTGAATCAATTAATAGACTTATCTAGAACTCCATAACAATCTTCTTAACACAATTTAACCATTTCATCACATCAACTTTGCTGTGACTTCAAATTTTCATGATTTCATTTGCCACTCTGAAAAGCTTAGGTAATAAGAGCATAAGACGATTTAAGAAGTGAAACATACGCAGAACTTGAGAATTAAGAATGAGCATGAAGTCAATACCTTTGGCTTAACAAAACAAGTTGTAGCACCTTTAAGACAGTCCAAAGCAACGCCACCATAAGCTCTAGCCAATCCACCAGTTCCAAGTTTTATACCACCAAAATACCTATATGTAATATCCAAAATTTCAATTGTAAAACTCAAATTTTTAAATAGATAAAATTAAAATTTCCCCAAAAAATTATATCCCATTTTTCATACGTCCTAAAATAGTCAAGATTATTTT